GAAAATCACGTGGTAGGATCCAGTTTTCCCTCATTCATTTCCGTATTGTTTTGGTTGTCATCAGCATAAAATTAACAACAGTCGTAAAGGTATTGTTTTCCTTTAAATATTTTTGTATCCCAAATTTAAACTTATTTTCCAGTACTGCTATTATTAGCGAGAATATTAAGTTAGGGTTGTAAACTCATCAAATTTGTTTGAGCTAGCATATATATATATATATATTTATAAAAAGTACAGTATCAGATGCATTTGATTAGTGATACCTAACATTTTTTCCTATGCACACCTTATAAATGCTCAGTGAATTTTCACTTGAACTAAAATTCCTCTAAAGCATGGTAAAATTGATTGTTTATTTAACAACAATACGTCGTAGCCATGCCATCAACAGTAGCTGCAGATTGTTTATAAATATCAATGAATCAAAAAATAAATAATTAAATAAAAATAATGAAATAAAAGATTTCTCAAAGTTGCCCATTTCAAACCAACAGTTATTAATTAGTAAGTTAAAAGTAACACAAGTTAGGCATCCCATAAGATGAAATTTTTCTTAAACCATTGATGCCTTGATAAATTTTTAAAAAAATTCTGATATATTGAATATTTTTAAAAAAATCTAATGGTGGCGAGGGCAAAAATTTATTCCCTTAAAAACCCCATTCAACCTTTCAAAAATGAAATTTTAAAGCAAATTTTTCATGGAAAAATGGACGGTTTCGTTTGATTTATTACTTGTTGTTCAGTTGTTACAATTACTTTTCTTGAAGAAGTAAGAATTATTTTGATCTATATATTTGATGACTAAAATAAACACTGTTCAGAAACTTACATTAGCTTAACCTTAATAGTACCTAAAGTAGAACTTTTACACGTAGATGAAAATTATACTTTAAGGCAATAAAAAATATTTTTAAAAAAAAAGTGTTCTAAAAAAATTATCAAACAGCGGCGGTCGCCATAGCAACGCATGCAATGACGACGCATGCGCACTGTTTACAATTACTCTTGAACACAGTTGAAAAGCGTGGTTACGTCCAAATAAATGCGCACGCCATCAAATCCAAAACAAAACCCATTTTGCCAATGGGTATTTTTTTTCTTTTTTTTTTTTACTTTTTATGAGAAACGATTTTTTTTTTAATCGTTATATATCATGAACGTTTTGGGGGAATTCCAGCTAGATTGTAACTAAATATTTTTTTTTTCATAATTACAGGTGTTTGTAAATTTCGTAAGGCAACAGTCTGATTCCTTACACACTGCAGAAGGAGAAAAAGAGTCATTTGTTATGGCGGAGGAAAATCTAGAAATATGTTGCACAAAATTGTGAACAAAGCGAAACCAATTTGTGTTAATAGCAATTTTAAGTTAAATAATGTAAGTTATAAGCATATTCTTACAATTATAAATTTGTTATGTTTAAATAGGTTTTGTTTGTTTTCCCTCTTCAAACATGTGAACAAAAATTTATTTCTCAGAAGTAAATTTTTTTTAAAAATTGAGTACAAAATTCAGGGTTAAAGTTTTCGTTTTCTGTCGTAGTTGTATTGAAAAATATTTTTATTTGTTGCCAATTTTTAAGACAATGCTTTTTTTTCCCGTCAAACTATGAAATAGAAATTTAATTGCTTTTAAGCTAAGTTTTATATTTTGTACAAAAAAACAATAATTTAAAATTATTGTTATGTAATTAATTATGTATTGTATGTAATTAATTTTCTTGCATAATAATGTTCGACAACATAATAATTGAAAATTAAATTATTCAAAAATGCAACCTTATAATTTAAGAAGAAAATTAAAATTGAAAGGCCCAGTACAAAAATCGGTTAGGTCCAAATATTTTATTATTTTTGTTTATTTTAAAACATTTTTGTTTGTGAACTATATAGCTGCAGAAATTAATACAGAATACTAAGCACGAATTTATAATCAACCTTTTCCTGTGTCCGTGTGGTAAAAAGGTGAGAGGGGAAATTTTGTACTGTTTGTCTACCCAAAGAACCACTTTCGAGGACAGTGCTCTAGATAACTGGCGAGGAAGGTTTTATAACAAACAAATGGTAGAACTACTGCATTTTTTAATTTCATTTAACTTTCACCAACAAATTAAGAATCCTTGTTATTACATCAACCCTTTCAATAGGTTATTATACAATTTTAAAAAAATGAAAATATTGAAAGTATTAATTGCTGTGTGAAATACATAAGTAAATTACACAATTGTGTGTATATATCATTGCGTGATCACAAATCTGTAATGACAGAAACAAAACAGATAATTCCTTTGATATATCCACAGCTCATTTTAATATTGCAAAATATTTCTTTCATTGACTCAATCGTTGAGCAAAGAAATATGCTAAGCACAAACTCATTATAATATATTTTAATGAGTTTATTCAACACAAAACATTCTTAAGTTATGTTGATGAAGTAAAAAGAAAATAATAATAAGCTCTTCTTAGAAAATAAGATTATTCAACTACTATTAAAAAAAAACATTATAATAAATTAAGATATTAAAAAAAACGAGTAATATAATTGAAAGAAGAACTATTCATATTTTAGACCCAAAAGCTACTAAGTATTTCCAAATCTTCCTAGGAACATAAACAAAAAAATTCTATGACTCAAGGATAACAAAAGAACAATAAACAAATATTCCCATAAATGCATTAACAAATATTCACTGTTTGTTTTTATTAAATATTTCATGGTAATCCAAATGAATTGTATATTTAAACAAAATATTGTTCTTCCATGAAAAAGTTGGGCAATTCAGAGAGAATTGTTTAAAATACCAGAAGAAAAGGTCAACTACCTAATTTATTACTAATTCTGGAACTAAATATTAAAGAGAATTTTGTTTGAATTAAATTCCAACTGTATTAAAAAATAGTTATTGATATCCTTATTTGAATGAGTATTTTCAAGATTGTGTAAGCGATTCCAAGAATATGTTATTGCTATAACAAAATGTGGTTTTGTATATTTCCTATGTAAATAAATAAAATTATTTTTGAAGATGTCATCTTTTTTTTTCTTCTAATAAACGCCTACTATGCCATATGTTATATTACTCAATCGTAACTTTTATTTAAATTCTGTTTTGAAATATATTTTGGATAAACTTACAAAAGTTACAAACTTACAATAGTTTGGACTTACAAAAATAAATTCCTAAATTCTAAAACATACTAGTTTTAAAAAAAATTGTTTCTTTAATTTTAAAGAGCTTTTGATGTATTAAAGTTTTATTTCATATAAACATTAGATTTTGTAACACGAAGTGACAAGAGAGGTTGTGATATTACCCAAATTCTTTAAGTAAACGAAATAGTTTTTCTGATCCTTTATAATAGTCCAATCTAAGATTAAATATTGCACAGATGAAAAATTCTTTAGTTTGTATGAGAAAAAAATTGTTTTGATCTTGACATTTTCTTCACTTGAATATGGTTCAAACTAAAGGTGTTCCAAAATTTGCACAAGATTTAAATTATGTTCAGTAAAGTGTAGTCAAGAAAGAGATCGAAGGAACAGAACACAGTTCAGGTTTATTGCAAATGGAACGCTATGTGAAAGAACACATTTTCAGTGTTGAGCAATGATTTACTTCCTGGTTTTGGTGATTCACAACAGAATACGCCCTCTGGGTTCTGAGACCGGTTCTATGACTTGACCCATTCCTCTCCACATCTTCTCAGTTGAATAGGAATGTACTACGATATTCTATTTCTTAATATTGTTCGTATTTACTTGTCAAAAATATTTTTTTAAATTTCCACGGCGTTTTCATTTTGAAGTATGTTCAACATAGTTTTCAGTTCCATATAGTTTCCCAACTTAAAAGTTTTTAATCTATTTGAAACTAAAGACACAAACTAACGTACTTCCTTCTCCTAAGACTCTCCACACGCTAAGGTGAAAGCATGCGAAGTGTTGCCATAGGTAGAGAGTTCTGCTCTACGCCACCTGTAGCCCATTTCGAACACCGATATCAGAATCAGCCGCCCAAATCATACAAAATCACGGTATGGCTTCTTTTTTTTATTTAGATTTTAAGGTTGGTGTTTTCAAACCCACAATCACCCAATGTTTTAAAAGAGGAATTGGGTACTTTATCAACGAAATTCAGCTACATTTATGCAAAATGGGTATTGAAAATTTTTCCAAGTTTGTTTATGAATCAGCAAAACCGTAACAGTTTAGTTACGATCAATGACCTGTTTGTTAGAGCACTGGGCTCATGTCCAAGAGGTCGTGGGTTCGATCCCCACCAATCAAAGACTCCCCGTGTAGTAAATGGTGACTGACGCATGTTAAATCTGTCGAGTCACAAAGTCCTCCATAGCAAATCAAACCTCTGGGGGTACCGATCCAGGTGTTTCCTTGTGTTCTGGATTGGTTCAAAATTACAAGGCTACGGAGTTTAACATTAGTAGTCGTAAACCCAAAATTAGGTTGGCTGTTATAAAATAAAATTTTAAAAAATTATCCTGTCAGCGATATGACCACGGACCATCCGTAATGGCCAATTATCCAATGTGACATTCCATAAATAACACTATACTTAAACCTTTATAAATCAATGAATTAAAAACTGCATAAATTTTGGGACAATCTGTATTAGAAATTGTTAAACTAATCATTACATAACTGAAATCTTTAGAGAAAAAGAAAAATTATGCACCTATTATGAGGTATGGACTGGTTCTAAAACTATTAGTTATAATTAGAAATAACCTAATTATTGACGTATTCGATACAATCTTAATGTACTTATTTTCATAGAAAAAAAATTATTTAAAAAGGCAAACTTGTTATTAGACAACCTAGTAACTCGGCCTGTAGAGTGTAATAAATAATAATCAGATCTATTAATCCAATTTTAAAAAGAAATTCTTTTCTATTTCTCAAAAACTGTTCAACCGATTCCGTACAAATATTCGAATTTCAAAGTTAAGGAACTTGGGAGTTCAATAGATAGAGAAATTTAGCATTGAATAGATCTGGATGGGGTATACTGACTGAGACGACCTTGGCCAGCAATCGGCTGTAGTGCCTAACAGGAAGTTAAAGTACATAGTGTTTAAATTATGTATACCTTACGATTCAAAATCTACCAGCTAAAACAAGCTTAACGATATGTTGAATGAGTCGGATGCAAAAATAATGTGTGAATTCAGCAGGCAAAAAGTAAACATGAGAAAAATTACTTTTCATGTTTATTGGGATTCTGAACTAACTCAGTCATTAAAAACATTCTCTACACTAACAAAAATAACTTAGCAAATGCGAAAGGAGAGCCAACGGATCAAGGTCAAAATCAGCTTTGCCAAACTGTGAAATAAAACATTATCTAAGTATAAAACAATAAAATAGAATGAATTCAAGGAATAATTTCCAGAAACTGAAGCAGAAATATACACTTGATGATATAAACACGTTTCGTTTCAACATCATTTGACATCGACGCTTCGAGAGCCCAAAAATGGGTCCCTTCAGGTGAGTCTTGAGAATGGGAGCCTATTTTTGAGCTCTTGACATGTTGTCTTTTACTACCATATTTCATATTTTTGAAGTAAATGAAATTTTATATCATCGACAATAATGAGGGGAGTTAAATTACTCTCTACTGTAGTATTCCCCTTGAAATGATAGTCCAGATGATTTCATTTTTATCTTAATTGCAGTCAAATTTTTATCACAAATTTTTTGAATCCATTAAGCTTTATTTTCTTTCCAAATTACAGTTACATAAAACATTAAAATAAGATCTACATCACAAGATGAACAAAAAAATCAAGAAATGTACTGATAAAATATTTTCTTTTAACTGACACAGCTTCTTGAAAGAATATGAATTCACTTACTATACTTCTCCTTTCTAGTGTTACATAAACCAATCAAAGATGATTATTTGTTGCTCTTCATCCTATTCAACCAATCAGATTTCTTAGGAACAGAGATGGGAAAGCACTAATATATCTAACAATGAATCAATCAATAAAATAACTATTTTAAATATTTACAGTTTAATTAATAAAATAACTATTTTAACCATTAATTTCAACCAAAATTGAGAACTATTTGAAACTAATCAATATTTTTAACAACCTGGTGTAGGAATCATGATCTTCCAAAGATGCAAATAGTTTAAGTTCAAGTGTATGGCACCTTCAGAAGTCTTAACATTCAAACTAATAAAATAATATAACTAATTCTTTTTAATATTTTCTCAAAATAAAAACGGCTAAGTTTAACAACTCATTGCTAAATAATGCTTTGAACAGTTTATTATCTTTTAATACATAAATTAATATCTTTTATAATAAATAATAGTACATATGGCAACCAAAAGCACGTTTTTATATTACAGCATGATACAAAATTGTAAATAATTTCATAATACAAAATATAGCAAATTAAAAAACAAAAAAAACCGAAGAAAACCAAGAAGTTTTTACTATCCGATATTTTATCACAAATAATTGCATAAGTTGTTCTGGTTCATTCTTTGCAAATTTACAATTCAAATCAACTTGTATAGTTAGTCTTTACAATCTGCTATGCCTCCAACAGTAATAGAAAAGGTTGCTTCATCTTCTGGTAGATCTGGGCTGCAAACATGTTACAGAAAAATATGAAATAAAAATGATTATTTATCTATTAAATAAAGTAACACACACTTAAAAATGCCAATGTGCAAAGCAAAGAAAAATATACAAACAGTATGTTGTAAGGACAATCTTATGTAAAATAGTGCATTAAGTGAGCAATTTGAGATTCTTTAATTTAAATTAAATTAACGCTTTGAATGAATAAATATTTTTATATATTTCTCAATAGATTATTTATGAGTGTATATTTCTGTCCTATGTTAATTTCCATCCAAAATATAGATGGCGCTGTAAACGTGAATTGAATTTAACTGCAGGACTGAGAGGTGAAGCAGCAGCGTATGTGTATGTGTAACAGATTCACGAGAGCGTCTGGAATGCTGGTACAAAATAAATAATTATTAAGTGAATACAGTACAATTATTGTGAGCTATAAATCTAACTAAATTGGTCCCCCTAAGAGGGATATATATTTTCCTAACAGCAAGTACTTCTCAAAAAACAAGTGCTTCAATCATTAAAACATTGATGTATCTCACTTTACAAACAAAATTTATATAGAACAAAACAGACATATCATCATGCAACATATCTCTAAAGATAATAGTAAAATTTAGAAACAGAATTTTGCTATTAATCCTTAGCGCTGCTAAAATCATTGATTACAGAAAAATACATTTTTAATAATAATAAATACAGAAAAAAAGGCTAGATTTATAAAAAGGATAGTTATAAGGTAAGTTTAAAGTAAAGCAGTATTAAAAAATGAACAATAAATCAAATGAGGACAGTAAATAATAAATTATTTCGCAATAAGTTTATATGAAATCATATTTAATTTTGTCTCATATATGTGAAGTTAAATAGTTTGTATGCGCTAACAAAATTGAAAACAAATACATTTATGTAAAAAAAAATAAAAAATTAGATTACATTTTAACAAAATGTATGAAAAAAACAAAAGAATTAAATAATTTAGAAGTAAACAAAAGATCAGACAATATAACTACAAAAAAAAAATTATAACTTCAGATGTAGAAAAAAAGATCTTTATTAAGTAAAATTTCAACAAAAAATTGTCAATGTAGTAAATAAGTTGGATAAATTTTAATTTCTTGCAAAGATATTTAAGCTTAAATGAAATTAAAGTATAAAAATTACCTATCATAAATTTTTGCAATCCGCATTTCTCCTTTTCCTTTTCGAAGCGAAATGCGAGTTGTAGACGCATGGGCCAGAATGTGGCCACCAATGGGTTTTTTGGGATCAGCTTGAAAACTTAAAAATAGAAAGAAAAAAAAACATAGAATCATTACAAAATTAATAAGCTATTACTTCAAATATTTTCTTAAACCGTTGGTCCTTATTTAAGGATTGTAGTTGGTTGTTTCTCTGTAAAAAACAAGCAATTTTTTAAAAAAATGCACATACAAAATTTAAGCAAGTGATTTAACACTTGAAAGGTCATATCCCTTTAAAACTGCTTATGTAGGGTATTCTGCAATCACCACCTTTAGTATATATTTCAAGCCTACCTTTGTCCGCAAATGAAGTTTAACAAGTATATACACTGAGGGTCATAAAATGAAACAATTATTATTAGATAAAAACATAAAATAAAACAGTCATAAAATATAAAAAAACTACTAATTTGCTTTTTAATTCATATTTGTTTCCTTGAGCAACCAAACAGGTTTTAATTTTTTTTCTTACTTCTTCCCACACAAGTGATTCAACTTATTTCCAAGGAAATTTTCTTTTTACTCTCATAAATATTGCTTTGCGACTCCTAATGTACATATTACTCAATTTCATTCTAAATAAGAATTTTAAAAACATGTAATGATAGCAACGATTATGAAACATCTTCCTATATAATTCTATGGTTAAATAAATGCAGTTATAATAAGATTTATAGTTATAATAAGAAAGAAACTCTTTTTTTATAATTTCATCAAAGAGTTTAGGTGCAAAATTAATTTAAAAACCTATATGCATATAAAGAAAAATAGAAATAATGCATATTGGGTTTTTAATCTTTTTCCGTCTGTTAATTTGTATGATTATTTTAAATATAGAAACAATGATGATTTCAATTGAAAATAAGCACAAAATGAGCACAATTAAAAATTGAAAATAAGCACAATTAAAAACTGAAATTGCTTTCATAGTTTGCAGAAAATGCTATTTTTATGTTTAAAATTGTAGAAAGAGTGATGCTTTGAAACTTGGTTCTTGGCTTAATAAACTTGATTCAAAAACTTGACTTAATAAACTTGATTAAAAAACATTTTGACCACTATTACATGTAAATATTTTTAACATTGATATGATCCATAAATTTGATCCAACAAATTTATGGATCATTTGATCCAAAATTTTTTAAAAAAATACATGCTTCCAATTGTTTATTTACTACCAGGACCGGATTAAGCTATAGGCACACTAGGCACGTGCCTAGGGCCTACGAAATTCAGGGGCCTACGAAAACCTTGGGAGAAAAAAAAATTTTGACAAAAATAATTTAGCTTTAGAAACAACAACTGTATTTTGCACAAAATTATGAAGATACAAATAAAAATATAATATTTTTCGGTAATAAATTATTTTGCAGAATCTTATGATCTAATATATTACTNGTTCGCATATTGGGTTTTTAATCTTTTTCCATCTGTTAATTTGTATGATTATTTTAAATATAGAAGCAATGATGATTTCAATTGAAAATAAGCACAAAATGAGCACAATTAAATATTGAAAATAAGCACAATTAAAAACTGAAACTGCTTTCATAGTTTGCAGAAAATGCTATTTTTATATTTAAAATTGTAGAAAGAGTGATGCTTTGAAACTTGGTTCTTGGCTTAATAAACTTAATTCAAAAACTTGACTTAATAAACTTGATTAAAAAACATTTTGACCACTATGACATGTAAATATTTTTAACATTGATATGATCCATAAATTTGATCCAACAAATTTATGGATCATTTGATCCAAATTTTTTTAAAAAAATACATGCTTCCAATTGTTTATTTACTACCATTAGGAAAAATATTTTACAAAAGACAAAAATTGTGAGGTTAATAAGCATGCGATGCATAGAATCTTTTTTAATGCAACTAATTATTCTCACAGTCATAATGGTTGAAACCATTTTTCAATAATATAGAATTTCAATTTTATTTTATTCATGCAGCTGGGTAAGGTTGCTGCAGTTCTTAAGAAAATAACAATAAATTTTTTACTTCTCATGCTTTAATGTACAAGAAAAATATCACAGTTCAAATTATATATTAATTTTGCATATTTCAAAACTGTTCATTTATTTTTTTAATTACTATTTATTATAATTTTTTTTCTTCTTTGCAATTTTTTGGATGAATTTTTACCTTTGTTTTTAAAATTTTGAACCAAAAACATCAAAATTAAAATACTAAATTCCATATGTTTAGTTTTAACTACAGCTATAACTATAACACATATTCTTAAAAAAAAGATTGGCTTTGTAATTCTGTAGAGACTGTGCTCAATTATGAAAATTTCACTACTAAAGTTTAGCAATAACTATGTATGATTGTTATTCTTTCAAATTATGCAACAAAGAATTGTTTTTTTAAAGCCAAAGAATGAAAAAAAATTTTTTAAATAAAATTTAAATCACCTCATTGAAGCTCCTGGATCAGATGTCATTTGATTGGTTATGAATACAGCAACATTGTATTCTGTAAAATAAAAGATCAGTAAATCAACAAAAAAGATGAAAGAAAAAAAAAGAAAGATAAAGAAAAAAAAATTATAAAATATTGATGTAATTACATTTTCCCCATTTAACTTGAAGACTATCATTAATAACATTTAAAATGGAATTTTATTTTTAAAACAAATGACATTCTAAAAATAATCACTGAAAAATCTTAAAAATTTTATGACATTAATTCCTACAGGGCAACAGGTAAAATGATAATTAAAAACAGTTTTAATTAATAGAAAAGTTAATGAAAACACAACTATTTTCACAATCAAATTAAAAACAAAAATATTTATTACTATTCAATTAATGTAAACATTTCTTCATCGATATTAACAGCCACAAATATATTACCAATCTATTTATAGAAATAATACAACAAAATTTTTCAATGATATAACCTATTTCTATTTGATAAAACTTCTACAGTTATTAACTCAAAATTTAATCACAAAAATTTCATAAAACTAATAACATAATTAGTAAAATATTAATCAAATAAGATCACTATCATGGCTTAAAAATTATATAAATAAATTATATGAATAAAAATTATATGAAAATCCATCTAATCATCGATCATTAATTATCATCATTAATTGTGATTAATACAGTAATGTAAAAAATTCTATTAAGAATTTAATTAATTTAAGACGAAATGTTGCCATGATTAAAATGAATAAAAAAATGAATCAAGGTTTAAAATTTAACTTTAAAAACTATAACATTTAAAAAATATATTGGCTTATTACACACGATTTCAAATTCGGTAATATGTATTATATTAATTGCATATCTTTAAATCTTATAAGGAATTTAACAAAAATTAATTAGTTTTCTCAGATACAGAAATCAATAAATATAAAATGCAATAAATTTAGTAAGACACATGAAATACTTTTAACCTACAAAAAATATGCTTGCACTATAAAATACTTTAAATTTTAAAATACTTTTAAGCCTTCAGATAGTTATAATGAAATACCTTCAGATAGTTTCTGCAATCTAGACATCATTTGAGCAAGTTTTTGTTGTCGATCAGCCAATTCACCACGACCACTAAAGTCAACTCTAAATAATGCCATTATTGAATCAATAACCTAAAAAAAGAAATAAAACTTGTTTTTGAATAACAACAATTTTTTAGTTAAGTTTAACAGCCATGTTAAAGCAACAACAAAAAATGATAATCATATAACAAATAAATAAAAAATATTGTAATTAGTATATTGTAATTAATAAACATAAATATTACTTCATCACAAAAAAATTAGAATTGAAGTTTTACAAATACAATTAGCAACTGTGTTAACATTTATTATTAACTGTATTACTAGATAAAAACCTTTCCTTTCAGCTTTTTCTTGTAAATTTTTTTTACTTATGTATTTTTTTTTTTTGGGGGGGGGGGCTTTTGGTCAATTCTTGTGCCAACTCAGACTGAATTTTTTTTTGCTAGAACAAATAAGTTTTTTCTTATGATATTCAATTGAGAAGCAATCAAGTATTTACACATTAGTACCCAAATTTCCCCAACTTTCACAAATAATTAAAATGTCATGAATCATTTATCAGACTGAACAAAAAATATAAGATATACAAACCAATAACTTATATACACCTCCTTCTTCATGAAACTTTAAAGCTACTAAATCCAAAATTTCCATTTGATGTTCACCTTAAGTATTAGAAAGAATCCTCAATAGAGTATATATTCATAACTAATTTCAAAAGAATAAAGCAAATAGTACAATGAAGAAGATTAACTTACTAAAATATTTTACTTTTAAAATGTGTATTAATTGAATGAAACATATTAGAAAAAAATTTTAATTAATGAAAATTATATAAAAAATTTTAATAAATTAAAATGAAAAAAAGTGGTAAAAAATACTAATTTATATGTTACATTTTCTGTTAGGTAAGCCTCAACCTGAAGTTGTCACAATTGTTAATATAGATGATTTAAAAAACAAAGTTTATAATACCAGCAACTTTGAAAAAACTGCTTAAAACTAAATTTCGCAAATAGATTAAATTTACTAATGTCTGAATTGAAAATAAATTCAAATATATTTTTTAAAAATATCTATCTTACTTGTAAATGCTCGTACATAGAGCACATTAGATAAGACTGCTTCATGATCAAGATTAAAACGATCTGCAATTTGCTTCAAACGATCGGGACGACTGGATTAGAATTGAGAAAAGTTTTGAATTCAAACATAATATAAAATACACACTTTAAATTATTCCCAACTTTAAAAGAAGAAAAAACTAGTACTTTAAATTGTTTTTTTCTTTCTTTTCACAAACTTTATCCCAAATAAAATTGAAAAGATTTGCATTAAATGAAGAAACAAATTTTAACAGTCAAAAAAAATTAAAAAGAGTATAGAAAACAATAAGTATACAGAAAATTAAAAAAAAAAGCATTTTTACAACAAATCAAAGGATACAAAGTGTTTTCAGTGTCTACAAACATAGCTTTACCACCAGTATAATTATTACCTCCAGGAAGCTGACAAGTCACTGAAAGTAAAAAAGCATGTTACTATGCAGTTATTTCTCATAAATATTCCAAAACAAATTGATATAAATGAATGATTTGTACAGTAAAATTTACTTGAGCAAGAAAAATTTATATAAATTTTAAAGTAATTATCTAAAATAATACTTATTAAATATGTTTAAAATTACATGAAGAAAAACAACAATTAGAAAATACAATTTACCACATAATGTATGTGAAAGTTGTGTCTTTCCAGTTCTAAACTCTCCAAAAGCTTCTGTGATTGCCATACTTTCAACTCCACCACCCATGAGCTTGCTGATATTTTTAAAAAAATCAAATGGAAAAAAAATAATGAAATTATATTTTGTATGCAAATATATACAAGTAAAAATAAATTTCCAAACAAACATTTTTTTAACTGTTTCAGTTATTAACTTTGCATATTCCATAATACAGAAAATGAAGTATTTTATTTTCTATTACTACCTGCAACAAAAATAAAAATAAAAAATTCATTCAGCTTCAATCCTTTAAAAATAAAATTATAAATTAAATACTTCAAAAAAAAAATTTCATCAAACATATTTATACAATATTTCATAGTTTATTCATTCAGTTACTACCATTTAAAAATGAAACTTCTAAATCAATACTCCATAAAAAAAAAAATAAAAAAAAAAATAAAAAATAAAAAAAAATAAAAAATTTAATCTAACATATTTATACAATCTTTCATAGTTAAAAATTATCATGGTTAAGTAATATTTGAACTAATTTTAAACATCTCAAAGACATTAAATTTGAAACTTTTTCTCTTATATTTATAAATAATCTAACTTAATATAAGAATATTTAAAGCAAGATATAAAAATTATCTATACATAATATAGTTAAAAACAGAAGTTTTAATTGATTGCATAAAAAAATTTTTAAAAAAAAAAGTAGTCAGCTAAGCATATTTCGAGCAAAATAAATATTTAACAAGTTAAAATAAATGGTTTTAAAACATACTTTTAGTATGAGTGTTAATAAATTAAATATGGAAAATAATATCAAATTCATAAAGAAATAATTTTAAAAAAAATTAAGCAATGATCTACATTTCAAAGATAAAACAAAATTAATCTTTACGAATCATAATATAAATTGTTTGCTTACCAAAAATTTTAATTTTTTTTTAAAAAAGTACTATTCATAGCAATTTATGTGTTCTAGAATTTCAGTAGTACTTTTACCATGTTATTTAATCAAATAAGAATTTAATTATTTATCAGACAGCATTAGAGATGCTTGAACATTATTCATCAACAGAATCTGAATTTAAATGAATAAAATTTATTTTATTTTCTGTAACAAAAACTATTATTGTCAACCAATATATCAAATTAATCATGTCAATCTATCTACCTGTCAACCTATCAAGTAAACTGATACCAGTTTGCTACAGTTCTTGAACTTATTATAATTCCTAAATGTTAGACTAATAAAAAATAAATTTAAAAAAACACATTAGCATATGAAATTTAAAAATTTTTTCAGTGTCATTTCAATTGAATGTAAACTTAACATTTTTACTACAGCCTGACAAGAAATATCTTAGATACCTATATACTATATTCAAAAAAAATTTCTAGATGACCATCTTTGGGTTTAATGCAGAGCTTTAAAAGTGTTAGAAAATCGTTCATGATTTGCCTACTGATGTTTTCTCCCTTTCCTTGCACACATATTGATACCAAAGTCTTATGAGGTTCAGTACAAATCCTTGTCTCCAAGACTAACTGAAAGGAAAATCTATTGAATTTGAGCTAGTCTGTTGTAAAAAATTCAGGAAAATAAACTTTGTACCATTTTGTGTGCCTTTAGCTCTGTGTGTGGGAGCAACATAATAGAAATGCAACTTATTTCCACATATATGTTTAGATACATACTTGATTCAATGCTCACTATTAAAAATTTTTAAAAAAAAATTTAAAATAATAAAATAAAAAGTTGTGGAAAATTAAAATACTTGTTGTTAAACCAAATTACTTCTTGTCATTCTGTTCATTTGCTCATTCACAAAATACTTTCTACATAAGAAAAAAAAAAGGAATATTCATTACTTAAGTACTTCACTTCCAGTACTAATTCTAAAAACTAGCTTCCGCCGTTGAGAAGCTTCCAAAGCAGTAAGAAAGGTAGCATTCTAGAAATGATGAGATAATATTGAAGTCATTTTGATGGAAAAACATAGACAAAATTTAGCATCAAACAATAAAAAACATAGTTTTTTTTTTTTTTACAAATTGTGGTGTAGGGCAAAATTAGCAGTTGCCACCAGCTACAAGGTAAATAGATTTAAAAAAGTGTGAATTAAAACAAATGCCTGTTAGTCGCCACCAGTTGATGACTTATTTTTAGTGGAATATGAATTTTCAATTTTTGAGCATTTAGAACTTTTAATTTTTGAAAAAGAATCCACTAGCTAGTAAGAAAATTTCCTAATTTTGCCATCAAAATTGTAGGTTTAATTCCAAAAAAATTCAGCAAAAAAGAAAGAAAAAAGAAAGGAGGCAAAACTCAAATCATAATAACATTAGTCACTACTAAAATATTTTAAAAAAATCAGTTATATTCAAAATAATCAAGCCAACACTTTGAAAACCATACAAATTATTAGAAACATTTCAATAAACCATCAATTACATTTATTTTTGCAACAGCTTCTTTGATTTTGTCAACTTTTGCTTCAGAGAGACCTTTTATTGCATTTAACTTTTTCTTTGTTGTCATTTGTAACCCCTAAAATAAAGATAAACAAAATGCCATACAATATTCTAAAACGCTAAACTTTTTAATACAAAAAATTTTTTAAAAAAAAAACTACAAACTTTAATTGTGCATATTCCAGACGTCTTCAATTTTTTTATGTCAGCAACATTCTGTAAAAAAATCTATTATTATTTCACAATAAATTTTGGAGCAATTATATTATTTAATTAATTGATTCATTAATTTCATAGAATATCCCTACTTTTTAATTTTTTCCCTTTAACTATAACTGGAGGAAGAGAAAACAATGTTATAAAGGATTAAAGTACAATATCTGATTTAGATTTCAGTTATTATTTGTCTAATAATCATTATTGATAAGCAGTATTGTTATTTTCACATCCAGTTTAAGAATATTCGCCTCAGTGTGAAATTGGAATTTAATTGCACTTCATTGGAATATATTGGAATAATTTTTTAGATTGCATATTTACTATAACTTAAGCATGTAAAGTAGTCTGTTAGTAATTGCTACACTTGGGGGAGCTAATTTTAACCTGTTTATTGATTCTACAACTTTGAAACAGAATAATATAAATTTGAATTTTAATTAAAATACTCATTCAGAAATTAGTAGAAATAAAAATTAGACAAACATACAATTCCATGTTCTTGCAGAAGATCAATATCTTGAAAAAATGATTCCTAGAAGGAGAAAAGATTTTTAAAAAAAATCAGATAATATCAAAGTTAACAATAGAGTCAAGAAATAAAATACATGCGTAATTTCAAAGATCACATATTTCTATAGGTCACCTACTCTGCATTCAATAAATTAAAAATAAACAATGTACTTAGTTAATTGGAAAATATATTATTTTTAAAAATTTAGAAAAAAATATAAGAAAACTATTAGATTAAGTTAAGATTTAATTGATTAAAAAAAGCATATAATTGGTCCCAACTGTCCTCTTTGTTGTACTGTTGTACTTTCAATTGATACCCTTTTTCAATTTCAAGTATATTAATCATTTCTTGGGATTACATCAAAAATTAATCCATTTTTTTATAAATATATAAATTTTTTTATAACAAAGACTATCAGAAAAATTATCATAGTTTCACCCATAATATAAGAACTATTTATAAGAACCCTGATATCCACATTCATCGATACATTTCTGACGATGTTACTTTATGATGTGAGAAACACTAGGTGGAATTTTGAAAATAAATATATACAATCATTTGAATGAATCCAATTGTATGGTAATGATTTTCTCATTTCAAAAGTCAATTTCTCTCAACTTTTATTCTAATTTTTGCCACTATTTTAATATTTCTAGGCACCCTAAATAAAAATAATGCAAAAACGAAAGAGAATTGCCAAAAAAGCCAACTTGGCATAAACAGACTTTGTCTTTTATTAATAAATTTTAAAAATAATTATAATTAATAACAGTTAATAAGAAATCATTTCCTTTTATTTATAAACAAGAAGTTCTCTCTCATTTTTAGCTTGTGCTATATTCAATATATGGCATCATAGCATACAGGTTAAATTTTCTCGCAATTAAAACACATGATAAATAATTTTGTGGAAAAATAATACTTATTACAAACCTAAGTATTTAAAACTAAGTACAAATTATTATTAAGTATAAAAAGAATTATCAAGAAAACGTAGCAAATAAAAATATTAGCTATAATTATGAGAACAGAGCATTTCAGTAAAATTATTTCTGATCTACATTCCATCTTTTAAAATACTACTATAATAGGTTTTAAAACGTGAAATTTCATTGAACACAACATTTTCTCAATGGGGGTTTGTGAACTACCAGTGGTTCAGGAAATACATTTAAGTGAACTGTAAAGAGTGTGGTAAAAGAAAATTACATAAGTTATTTAAATTATTACAAAATTGATTTTAAAATGCATGCGACTCTAAATCAAAATTTTAGTCATTTGAAAAAAAGGAGTGTAAAAAATAGAAGATATACTTGTCTTCCCAAATATACATACATGGAAAAATATATCAAGTTCCCCCATCCCAAAAAAGGAAGGGAAGGTTGGGAAGGGAAGTTGTCTAAGTTCTAAATTCTTTCTAGAAATGCATAGAGTAGAAATTTGGTCTGAGGCCAAATATTCGGCATTTAAGCCTTTGAATAATGCTGGAAGTGTTGCACATTTAATATTACCTGCGAACCTGAGTTACAGAGGCTAACAACATTACCCAGGCCACACTGTCACATAGGATGGGCCAAATTCAAGCATCACATAACAGAGGGCAAAGACATCCATACCCTTAAGTGGAATTGACTTTGCAGTCAGATACCCTGACCACTCAGCCATCTGCCAAGCAGCTGAGGGGGTATGACAGCATGTCTTAAAGAAGAATGAAAATGTGGTTTATGATTTCAGCAGAGTTGAAACCACTGATTTAAAGCAACCACCCTTATTATTATTATAAGGTACATACAAAGACATTGGATTAATATAGATATTGGAGATAATAATAAAGATATTGGAGATAATAGTAAAAAATTAAAAGTTTTCCTAGAAAAAAAACCATTCTAAAAAAAACTTTCAAAAAATTGAGCTGTTAACTTTTATGGTCATTAGGATGAAATTAACCAAGGTTTTCCCCATATTATTCAATGAAAATGCAGTGTGTGCGATATAAGGATATTCGCAAGTGATTTCGCCCAGGAAATCAGTGCTTAGAAAGTTAACATACTTCTTCCTCCTCAAATGCTTCTTCATCTAGAGCTTGTTCTTCATATTGCATTTTCTCTGATATTTTTTTTTAACTAGAAGAAAAAAGCAATAAATTTGTGTAAAATATTTATGCATAAAATACACTCTGATTCAGCTTCTCCAACATTAAATTAGTTCCCATAAAAGCCTTTATTAGATACTCTATTTAAATACTTTTTATTTTAATGTTAAAAAAATACAATAAAAGATCCAAGTTATACTTTTTTAACAACAAAAGAAAAAACAGAAACTCGCAATCCTTATTTAGATTACAATATAGTGATTGTCTTCAAAAATGAATTATTAAAATCCATTAAAAAACTTAAACATTTTTATCTAAAAACCCAGAGAAATTTAATTTAAAATGAATTTAAATTTAGGGCACAAATTTCTTGCTAAAATAATAACATGTAAAACAAAGGTACATAAAAAAAATGCAACATTCTCCTTAGTATATCAACATTAATGATGCAGAATCGGAGCTAAGTGATAAGAGCTATATGGTAATAGATACCAATTATAAATTGTTCATTACTAAGAACAAAAGGATTGTTACAAAAGATAGTTAGATAGTTCTTAATATGCAAGTAAAAAATTAATCAAATTTCCTTTCTTTGCATAAAAATTTTATAAATTTATCTATTCAATAAATTAAATATTTATAAATTTGTTGTTTTCGAAGCAACAGTAAATATTTTAAATAAATATTGAAAATTAAAAATAAATTACTGATTTACTAGCCTTTAAACTAGTGTTTGGTTGATTGCGTACAAAAAAAAAGTCTACTAACTGTTTTCTGATAATAGCTAATAAGTTAGATTTTGCTTTCTAAATAAATAAATAAAAGAAGAAAGTTTGTTTTGTTATTTATTATCTTATTACAATAACAACTTGTAACTTGAATAATTAATCAAATTTAGTTATATACTTTATATTAGTAGAAATTATATATTAAGTTATTCTATAATAAATATGAATTTTAAATGCGAAAACATAACAGTTATAGTATTTTAATAAGTTTATAACATGCTTTAAAACTATTTATGAGCTAATTCTCATTATTTTGGAAACCATATGACTAAAATGTAGCTTTTCTTCACAAGAATTTAAAATACTAAAATCCAACTGGAATACATGAGCAAAAGATGAAAAACATTATGATTCTCTTTAACAAGTAGGTATAATCAATATATAAGGATGTAGGTCAAATGTATGACTTTTTGGTACTTCTCTATTGGTTATAAAATCACCAATACAAAGACACTGAAAACAAGTAAATTCAACTTTTTTTTTTTAATTGAAGGTTATTCAAAAAAAAAACTAATTAAAATCGATAAATTTTCTTACGCCAGCAAAATGCAAATGTACAGATTTCACAAAATAAAATTTTTAATTTTTTGATAAAAACAGCAGTTTCAGAAAATAGTTTTTTTTAAAAAGCAAATTTTGAAATTTTCCTCTCTGCCTTTTAAAACTTTGTGGTACAATTGTCTCTTTTTTATGAGTTAGCAGTAGAAAATGATTGCATGCTATAAATTTATGTTTGAATACATATTTCTTTTTTTCATTGCTAAAAATCTTCGTCTTAATTTATACTTAAAAATATTTAATTTTTACAACTACTCAGTACTAACTGAGTACAACGTCAAAACTTGTCTGAATATGTTAATATTAAAAATCTGTTATTTTATCCCAGTATACTGTTATCTCAATATGCTAAGTGTGATGAGTACTTGGTAAAATACTAATTAAAATTATATTGTGTACATGTTGTGTTGATTTCTTAATTTTCAAAAAATAGGTACCTTTTAAAAAAACCTAGATAGACCCTTGCCTTTGTATGTGACAAGAAAAATAAACATGACTTAATATTTAGAACTTTTGCAGCATATTCTAACAATAAAATAGTTTACTAAATTGGGCTATGGTTCTATACTAATTAAGCATATTATTTCTTTACTCAAAATTTAAATAGGAATATCCATTATCATAAATTTTAAAAAAATCTAAGCGAGAATTAATTCATTCGTTAAAAGAAGTTTACATAATTATAATTACTAAAAATACTATTCTGTTACAGATATTCTCAAAAAATATTAAACTCTTACTTATTGTTTCTGACTACCTAAAGCAGTTATGACATGGCTATGTTGGCTCACCTTTTTTACAGACAGGAAAATAAATTTTATTTTTTAAAAAAAAATAGCATAAAAATATTAATACAATTAGCTTTAAAAAATAAACATCTTTTATTTATAATTCTTTTTATAATATAAAAGAAAATGTGATAAAACTGATATATGTTCAAATATTTACTTCTTTTCTCTTTTTATACATCATCTTATTTCAAAACTAAAATTGGATTCACATATGTGTATATAGGTGTTTGTATAAACATGGACAGATTAAAATGATAAAAAAAAAGAAAAAAATTTAAAAAGTTGAAGTAATTTTTATAAAGTAAACCTGCACTGTTAAGTAAATTCCTTCTTACGATAGAAACTTTGGTAGCTAAACAAAATTTATTTTGATTAGACCTAATATTAATAAACAAAGATAAGAAAGATACATTAAATTACAGACAGTGGCATATATGAAATCTGAACAAAAATAATGAAACCAAATTTCATAAGTTCTAAAATTCACTAATCAATATAAACATTTGGCAAATTTCTTTGTTTATAATAAAATTTCATGTATTTCAGAATTTCTAATAAACTTGTTAATCTTAATAATAGCCACTTAATTATTTTCTTTCAAAAATTATAATAAAAACAATAATGTTATCATTAAAATATTTCTAACTGGTAATAAAACCTTCTCTAAAATAAAAAAATCTCTGCTGTAAATTTAAAACTAAATGTTAAAAAAAAATTATTTGTCTGGTAATGTTCAATATATTCTTAAAAACTGAGAAAATTATACTCAACACCACTGAAAAATGATAACGAGATTTAATGAAGATTTCAATACATAAGTTACATGATATAAAGTAGAAAATTGTTGATCATGAGCTTGTGACAATGCAATAAATGCTAAGTTGTAACTATTCTCTCACTAGATAATCATAAAACAATTCAAACCAGTCACCAAAATAAGCACAATCACGTGTAATAAAAAGTGGATTTAAATATAACAAAAAGTTTAGTGATTTTGAATGAATTAATTTTTGGTCCTTGCATATGAAATATAAATATGAGCAGTCTTATGTTCAATGGCTTTTAAGAATGTCTATGAGTATTGTTTAGTTGTAATTCATTACATTTAAGAATAGGGAAATTAAAGTTCATCGTGGCTTTCAGCATCATTTGCATCCTCACTGGCATCTGGAGAATCAGGCTCATCTAATTCATTATCTTCTTCTTCCTCTTCATCATCATCCGTCTTCTTTACAGTGGCCTTCCTTTCTTCTTCATCTTGCTTTTCCTTCATCTTTTTCTCAGCTTCTTTAATAGCACCCCACGTATCTTGGCCATGCTTTTCAGCTTCACTTTCATCATCAGTAATCAGAACATTGTCAAAAATTGTTCCAGACTTTACTTGCCAGAGATCAAATCCAATTCCACAAACTTCATCATATTTGTAAAGGAATGGATCAGGTGCATATTCAGGATTATCAATCTCAGGGTGTACCCAGGGTCCTTTATAGTTAGGATTATCCAGTTGTCTAGGTTTCCATTCACCCTTGAAAGCTGGATTATTGATCTGTGGGGGTTCCCATTCACCATCCATCTCATCATCCCAATCTTCAGGTTTCACAGCATCGGGATCTGGAATGTATTCAGGCTGTTCCCAATCTTCTGGTTTCTTATCTTCAGGATCTTCAATTTTAGGATTGTCATCCCAATCCTCTGGTTTCTTGGCTTCAGGATCTTTTATTTTCTTTGGTGGAAGAAAATCCCAGTCTTTCTCAAGCTCACCACTTTCTACTTTTTCATTATCGATCTTAACAATGTAGGTATTATCAGGTTTAACGATCAAAGTGTATAAATGGGTATACACATCGTCCTTGCATCTGATCTCTTTGTTGATCAAAAGATTCTTGCCTTTATAATTAAAGATTACGTGTACCTTTTTAGTAACTGGTCCACAAATATCGGGTCCAAACATAATAAGATAAGGTGTTTCCCCATGCATATCAGTCTGTTTTAAGCTACAGTCAAATATTTTGGCATAGCCACCGCCGCAATCAATGCTCTGTTCATGTTTGACAGTAAACTGGATCACTAATGTGTTGTCCTTATTGCTGAACGGTTCAAATTTCGTAGATAAGCCATAATGTCTAGCATCTTCAGAAGTCTGTATACCTTTGCTAATTTCAGGATCACCATAGAATTTACCATGAGTTAGGACAAATTTTCCCCATTCTTTTCCAGAATGTTCGGATTGAGTCCACTTTTTCTCCCACGTATCATCCGAAAATTCTTCCACGAAATACTGTTTGGCATGAGTTTCAAAATACAACAGAGAGATTACTAAAATTATTAACCTCATAGCGAATGCAGTAATAATAATATACCGCGATCACTGATCAGCAGTTAATTTTACAACCTAATAGCCACACAAAGTGAAACAGATACTGCACAATCACAAACGCCGACGATGCATTAGCGTTGTATATCACAGTGACAGTTAAAATATAGAAATATTTTAATTAAAAGAAAAAAATAATATTCTACAGTGTTTTTATTTTATTTTAATCAATTTAATTATTTTAGTTACAAACGTCAATAAAAAGAGAAAGTAGAAATGATTAATTTATTTTATCGAATTTAATTTATTTCTTGCCGAAACTTCGTAAATAGATAGCGTTATCTTGCGAGGAAAAAGTAAAGCTTTAGAAAAGGTCTTGATGAGTACAAAGCAAGCACATTCATAAGTCCCATAATGAACTGATCGTTAAAAAACCATTCTCAACTACTGTATTTCGCACAATTTCAATCACAGCTGAAAAAAATGAACCTGATTAAAGAGTATTTACGGCAGAAAATATTTTTCATCACTTTAGTTCTCATTCTCCCTCGACGACGATCGGAAGTGCGTGAACCACATTTAGTGAGAGTCTGAGAGTGGCTGTAGATCCCAGTAGATCACCGAAGTCAAGCATCACTGGCAGAGGTCAGTGAGTAAATGGATGAATACTCTAATCAGCTAGCGAAGGGACCGAGAGTGCACTTTATCTGTCCTCGGTTTGGAACATTCTCAGTTCATGCATTCAAAAATGTGATCATACGTCAACGTGAATCGTGCACGCACAAGCAATTCCTCAGACTAGTTTTTAAAAGGCCATTCACACTAGATGCACTCGAGAACTTGATTGGTGGAAAATACATACGCGTTAAAAATACGCCAATCATGCTTTTTCACAGTTGCGAATAAATTACATTCAGCGAGAACTGTCCTTTAAGCTTTCGCAAGTGCATCTAGGGCAATTGCATGTAGTGTGAATGCTCCCTTAAACTGCAATTTCAATTGTGCTCGAAAGTGATCGAAATATACAAGGCGAACGCGGTAAAGCCTCTTTGCTGCTGCTATTTGAACGTTTTTGTTTGCCTCTTTAGTGAGGTGGTCTCCGATGCAAGGAACAAAGTTCAACTGTTTCGTAACAAGCTCTGCGTTCTGAATGTTTGAGAACCGGAAAACCACTTTGCACTCTTCAGAACCAGTTATTTTGTATATTCAGAGCAAAGATGAGAACTTTTTATGAGATTGTCGGGAGGTGTGGTTGATGGAAGGGCCATGTGGTGAAGATCATTCGCCATCTGCTTGTGCTAGAAGTTGTATATCTCCATTCAAATGAAAAACACAGATTTTTGTAGACGAAGGCATTTTATTCAAAATTTCTATTTCCTTTCGGTTTTGAGAAACATGTTCATTTCATTAAACGGCTCATCAATGCACAAGAGCCTAACTGCACCACGTGCATGCTGGATCCTCCCTGTGTGCTCCAGGGAGTAGATAGTAATTTAATTTAAGTCATTTGAATAATAATTGTTTTCTTGCTGAATTTACCTGATGCATCAAATAATTAGGAGATAAGGAAAAACTTATTATGGTAAAAATCAATGATTAAACTCTAGAGCACACAGGGGGAAAAAAAACAAAAATTATCCTGCTGCTTAAGAAAGCAACCAACTATTCGAGATCCACGGGGAATACTGGTCTATCTCCAAAAGATAGCGTCCCCTCCTTAGCGGTTGCAAGAATCTCTAAAGACGAGCTATGAGTCGAGCCCTAGAGATCCTGCAAAGGCAATGAAGAGGGCGCTCCTGTTGGAGACAGCCCAGTAGGAAAAGTAAACATTGTGGTGATCCCATGATCACACCACAGAGATAAAATATTAACGTTTTGGTTTTAAGCTCCATTAATAGTAAACTTATCTGCGAAACAAAACAAAATTGACCAGCTGTCCATTTCAGTTGAGAAATTTTTTCACCTCTCTTAACACAATTGTAATTACTATTGACATTAAGAACAGAGCTTTAATTAAATTTGAGCACTCCATCTACTTAGAAAGTAGTCAGAATTTCGATTGAAAAAAATTCCTATTTAAAATTCCAAAATAAATTCTAATTTTAAATGTCAGGAAACCATTGATATTTGTACTGTTTCCCAGCATTATGCCGCAGTTAAAATGAAGTATTGTAGCTAATCGAAAAATAGTCAAGATGTCAATTGACGGTATACGATAAATTTTTCTTGTAGCACTCAAAAAACGAATTAAACTTCTCTTGTATTTAAGAATCGAGATGCAGAAATAAATTTAGCTCATTATACGCTCAGAATATAGCTTGAAAGTAAATTCCGGTATTACAAAATTTATCATTATATTATCTATCGCTTAAAGCGATAAATAATATAATGATAAATTTTGTTTTTAGCGATCAGGAAATCATTGCAAACTTGTATTGTCATCAGGGACAAAGCTCCAGTTGCAGTTTGATTACTTTTCGTCGAAAAGTGTTCAAAATTTCTTTCAACAATATATCTAATAAGTGAAAATATGACAACAAATTCTGCTTGAATGATTGGAATTCTTGATATCATTCAACACAAAGCTTCAATTAAAATATTAGTACTCTAGCTATACTAAAAGTGATTAATATTGCAGCTGAGAGCAATTTCTTTTAATAATGTTATCACAATAAATTTTGCTAGTAATGGTTCTTAAAAAATTTAAACTTCGTATTGGCATCTTTCATGATCTCTAATAAAAATTGATGATATGATCTGACTGGATTTAGCCTAATTTTCTTCATTTAGTTATAGTTTTATGTTTTAAAATTAACACCAACAGAACAGGGGCAGTTCGAATATTATAATAGCACCTAAAGGGAAAGGGGTTTGTAATTTGCTTATTTTTCTAACAATGGCTATGAGCTATGCTTACGTAAAACATTAAAACCTCCCTATTTCCAAAATTTTCTTAAATTAAAAAAAATTCAGCTTGCAAAAAAAAAAAAAAAAAAAAAAAAAAAAAAAAAAAAAAAAACTGCTGGCAAGTGTTTTAGGGGTCAAGAGTTTTGACCACATAAAGAAAACAAAAGATTCCTAAAAAATATTCTTTTCAAAGTATTAAAAAATGACTTAAAACATAAATTTTGCACAAAGCTAGATGTTTGATTTAAATTTAATCCTATCAAAGTTAAAGCAAAAATTGGGAGAGAAGGCTGTCTTTCTTACATAAGCGTATGAGGTTGTGAGTTACTTATTTTTGCTGACAACATTGCCATGCTTGCTTAATTCTTGAATGACACCTAAGTCACATTTTCTTCTCTAGAAAAGAACAGTTTTAAGTGCTTCACTAATATTTGTGAAACTGTGTGATTAGATACTGTTTTCACTTTAAACAGCTAATTAGCTAACTAGTAAATAATTAACTAATAAACTAATTAAACAACCAAAATACAGCACGATTTCATAAAATCACTGCTAAAACAATTTTCGAAAATTTAAATTTATTATTGCATTTTAAACTTTTTTTTCAACGTTAAGACTTCAAGATTTATCTTGCATATATACCATTATTTATTTTGAATAAATAAGTTTGTAGTTTATCAAACTATTATTATTATTGCTTAGTACATAAATCTTCGATTCGGATATTTATCATCAATTAATGAATATTTATCATCAAAAAATAAATAGCTTAATACATATATTTAATTCTGCAAAAAATTACAAGAGAAACTTTTATTATTATTATATTTAAGTTATATAAGTAAAAGCTTCAAGCGGAACAATTATTTAAAACTTAAAAAGAAAAAAGAAAGATAAAAACTTATTAACTAATTTTAAAATAAAAATCGTTTTTCTGATAGCAATATTAAAATAATTAAAGTATATTCTTAATTTATAATTCTGATAAAATAATAACAACTCCAACAGATTCTTTTAGAAATTTCTCCATGATGCTTTTCAAAATCAAATTTGAAATCATGAATTCTTTTATCTTTAACTAAACTTTTATGAAGCTCTTCATAAAGAAACATCAATTACGATTTTTGAATTAAAAGATAGATTTAAAATAACTATAATGACTCTTTTAATGCAAAAAAGTAAGCATTTTCTTTCAACAGTTAAATTATTGAAAGACTATATTTTTTAAAATAAATACAAAATTTACCTTTCTGCGAAAATTCGAAGTATTAAAACTTCTTCTGAAAATTTTTTTATTAATGAAGAAATGCTTTTGCTGATCAAAATTGTAGTTTTAATTAGTAGTTTTTAACAGGAAGTAATTCTTTATTGTCACTGCTCCATTCCAAACTAAAATCTTAAATAGTTCTATAACTAAAAATCCTAAATAATGTTATAAAGTTAAAGTCGTCTGCTCAAAAAAAAAAATCGTCTGTTTATCGCTGTATAGCATATATATTTTTATCTTTCTTTAAGCAATTTCCATGTAAGGTAACAATATTAATTAATTTTCTAAAACAACTCAGAAAGAATAAATCATAACAATGTTTAAAAGATTTAATACGTTTCACAGAAAACGATAAAATAACTTATTTTTCTCTTTTCAGTAGAGATTTTTTTTCCAATGTAGACCTTAAATTTCTTTTCCTTCTAAATTTCTTCTTTACGTTGCTAGTACACTCTCGAATTTCCATTTTAAACTGCATAATCGCGCATTAACTATTCTATATTAAAGCAATTTAAAAAAAATTTTGTTTGTTCCTCAAAAAATTATTTATTTGTTTAAAGTAAGTTAAGAATAAGATGAGAATCGAACATTTTCTAACTTCACTTGTTCATCCACAATAGGTTTAACATTAATAATAAAGCAATGTAATTTTTTGTTAATTTTGATATAATTAATTTAGAATTATTGAAATAATTATAATTTTGAAAGTATTATTTTAGAGGATGAAAAGGTAAAATTATTATTTTCCCTAGTAGAAAAATAAATTGAAATGGAACAAGGATTATGTTACCTTTGTGTGAATGGCCTCCCATAAAGCTACAAAATCATTACCGTAAAACGTAATTATATATAAAACGAATTGATCTAAAAACTATAAATTGACTTTATTTACTTTATTTATATGGCAAAAAAGAGTTTGTTTTAATGATTTTAGTTTGGAAAATTAAGCATTTAATTTTGTTAAATGTGTTTTTTTCCCTGAACCAAGATCTAGCATCATTTCGGCATTTTCATCTAATGAATTATTTCTGCTTAGATATAATTTGAAATAAATGTTCTTTTTAAAATGTTCTTTTATTTCATATTCATATACTTTATTTATACGGAAAAAAAGAGCTTGTTTTAGGGATCTAAGTTTGGAAAAAGTAAGTTTTCTTTTCCTGAAACCAAGATCATAGCATCATTTCAGCATTTTCATTTTAATGAATTATTTCTGTTTAGATAAAATTTGAAATCAATGTTCTTTTTAAAAAATTTATAATTTCTGTTAGAAAAAACACTTTTAATATCATACTAAAAACTTCAATAATCAAGAAATTTCGTCTAAAAAATATTTCTCTTTACGTTATTTTAAGAGTATAATTCGGATTAAGAAAATTCAAAATAATTTTTAAACAGCTCGTAAAATTCGAACGTTTTCCAATTAACTTCATTTATTACTTTGTTTACTTACATTTATTATTACATCTTTCTTCTTTAAATTTCATCGTAAGAAATTTATAGTCGAGACTATTTGCTTACTGAAATAAATAGACAACATTTCAATTTTTTAAAAAATTGCGGTTTTGTTTTGTGAACAAAAATAACATTTTAATTACCAAAACTTTAACATAAAAATTATAATTTTTAAAAGTATTGTTTTCATTATTTTATATAATGCATTATTATTTGTAACTCTATATTAAAAAATAGTAAGAGCAGCTGCCACTTTTATTTTAGGCTTTCAGCATAACGTTGCATTTTGTTTCGTCGCTCAAAAACTATTCAACTTAGAAAACTTGCAATTATGAAGGTGTGTAGAAAACTTTCAAGGAGTACAGAAAAAGTAAATTTTTTTAACATTATATCATTATTTTATTATATAACCGTCGTTGAACAGCCGACCCAATTTTTTGTTTACGACTACTAATGTTCAAATCCGTAGTCATGCAATTTTGAACCCAAACCAGTAGACAAAGGAACTCCTGGATCAAGTGTTGAGGGACATTTTCCTTCGTGGAGGCCTTTTTGATGGAACTAACCCGCATTTGCGTTGCATGGAGAGGAAGAAACGAGACTACGAGAACATTCCACTGTCAGCCTAACGGCAAAGGGACTTTAACCCATGATTCGTCTACCACTGATGATATTTCACGTCAGCACTGTGATCGGAGCAAGCCGGATGCGGATTCGTATCGACCAGCCTTCTTCGTTGGGTTTCGAGCCCGGTTTGCCTCTTTGGAAGGTAAACGCTCCATCCCCTGAGCCATCGCTACTCACATTATATCATTAGTTCGAAAACTGTTCAACTTGTAGCTTAAAAATAGTGCCATGCGAGTCATTGTTGTTTATGATTTTTTTTTCTGAAATTCCTATTTGCTTAAAAATTATTGCAATTTTAAGTCCTTTTGTTGCGATTTTTTTCCCAAATGGTCTTTGTTACGTTACATTTTATTTTGCTACACAAAAACTATAAGGCTTGGAAATTGAAATTTAGAAACTGAACTCAAAAATGTGCAGGAAGTGAAAAAGAATTTTTAAAAAAATTAGCAATCAGTGATTAGTTTGAGAATTACCAACTACTTGCAGTAAAAATACCATTCGAGCTACTCTGTAGGCCTAAGGAATGATAAAAGAGAATAAGAGAAGTTTGTTTTTACTATTTTATTTAGAAAAAGTTTTAAAAGTGTTGAATAGTATTGTGTACATTTTTTGCATCATTTCAAAGAATGCAATTTCGCGTGGCAAAATGCAAAATGTGAGCAAAATCGGTCGAATAGTTCCTGAGAAATCGAATTTTAAAAAATGTCGTGTTTTTAACGAGTTAATTTAATTTAATTAATTGAGATAATAAAAAAGAATAAGAAAAAGAGTTTATTATCGAGTCGAAATATTTTAAAATATAAAAGACTCTAGAGAGATAATGTCCATTTCCAATTTGAGATGTTCTATAATAAAAGGTTATCGTTTTACATTATTTACAACTAACATTACTTCTGCATCATTACTTCAAATTGTGTCGCACAATCTGTGAATTTCTAATTCTAAATACTTTTTTTTTCAAGTGCAGTTGATTATTTTTCAAATCTAAGTAAGCATTCATTTTGTTACTATTAACGTATTAAGAAAACGTTCTTGCATAAAATTATTGTGTGTGAACATATATTTTTTAAGCAAATTTATTTTATTTTATTTTGAAAAATATTAAATTTTAAAAGGGGGGGGAACAAAGATGAATGAGAGGCAACCATGGGGGCTGGTAAACAAAGTGAGGAGAGGACGGAGCCTCTTTTAATTTTTTAAAAAAAATTAACTAATCTTCCACTCAAAAAATGAGCTCATAGGAAAAGTGTCGGAATAAAATACCACTCATGATACTAATTAATGTGTCTATTTTACTTAAACAATTCTATGCTTGGATTACGTAAGCTATAAAATAGTAATTTTTTCCTCTTTTTTTTCAATATAGGTCATTAGTCGGCCTTTTATTTGATTTTAAAAAAGTTATTGAAATTAAAATAAAAGCTATTAAAAATTCTGTTCTAAACGCCGTAAAATTGCAATCCGCAATTCATAACTGATGAACCGAACTCCCGTTCATTAATAATCAACTCTAATGGCCAGGAACGTAGCTATCTATCATTGGGGCAAATGGGGCAATGCCCCAGATCTCCGAGTTTAAGGGGCCCTATAATGCTTTCTAGTTTAATAGATATTTGATTACATATTTTTACAACCGTCGTTAAATAACCGACCCAAATTTTTTAGTTTACGGCTACTCATGTTCAGCTCCGTAGTCTTGTAATTTTGAACCCAATCCAGAAGACAAGGGAACTCCTTGATCAAGTGTTGAGTGAAATATGCCTTTGTGATGGACTAATGGATAGAACTAACATGCATTTGCGTTACAGGGAGAGGAAAGCCACGAAACCCTCCCACGGTTAGCCTGACGGCAAGGGGACCCTAACCCATGATCCATCGACCACTGATGATATTTTACGTCAGCACTATGGTCTTTGCGTGCCGGATGTGAAATTCGTATCATCAGCCGCTGGATTCGAACTCGATTTTTTGGGTTTACGACTATTAATGTCCATCTCCGTAGCCTTGTAATTTTGAATCCAATTCAGAAGACAAGAGAACTCCTGGATCAAGTAGTGGGCGAAACGGCGAAATTTGCCTTCGTAGAAGACTTTTAGATGGAACTACCCGAATTTGTGTTACATTGAGAGGAAAGTCACGAAATCCTTCCACAGTTAGTCTGACGGCAAGGGGACCCTAGCCAATGATACGTCTACCCCTGAGGATATTTTGCTTCAGCACTGGGGTCGCTGCAAGCCGGATGCGGACTTCGTATCGACCAGCCGTCACTGGAATTCGAACCCCGGTTCACCTCATAAACAATTATGATTGAAGATTATCATTTAAAAAACTGATCATTCGATCAAAAATTATAATGTATTACTTTTACTTCTGAATATACAATAAAACCCCTATGCCGACAACGTTTTTTTAAACATTGTAAAAAAAAATCACTTTAAACCGATGTAATTAAAGCACTTTTAGAAAAATGAAGCATGTAATTTGAACCGGAAGCACGTGACACCCGGCTTACTCATCGCGATAAAACACAGTTGACGAGAGATCGTTTTCCTGCAGTGGTGAGGCCCTTGGTATTATTTATCCAATTTACTCCGCTATGCAGCCTTTCTAACTGACTTTCAGTTTAGCTTATCTGGGAAAACACAATTGCTTATTTACTTTCCTTTCATTGGTAAGTTGTACGCTTAACTAACAAGTTTTGTATTCTAACTTAATAAATTGACAATTGATGTTATTTAAATTCATTTCCATATAAAAAGGGACAAATTTAAAGTAAAAAATATTTCCAAGAAAATATTTTTCTTTTCTTTTCATTTAAATGAAATTTTAATTTTTAGATGATCTTTCTCTTTATCATTTTGAATATATTAATATTTCAATTGTAAATTACTAATATTTTTCCAAAAAAAGAAATTTTTCGTTATTTAATCGATATTCCATTTAGCTGGACAGCAAAGGCTATTGCCCTTTGCCCAGTGATGGAATTGAACCAGTACGTACTGTTTTTTAAAATGTTCTGAAGTTAAATTCGGCATGAATAAAAAATTTTAACTAGTAAAACA